GGCCTCGTGCGCCGCCAGCGTCGCCTCCCGGAGAGCAGTGGTGGCCTCGCGGTCCATCAAGCCCCTCTCCACGGCGCCGGCATGTTCTTCCAGCGCCATGGCACGGGCCTCAAGGGCCTCCTCGCGCCGCCGGGACGCCGCTTCGGCTTCCGTTGCCCGCCGCTCTCGGGCAGCGGCGGAGTCGAGAACCCCTTGGGCGGCGTCGAGCTTGCTCTTCAGCTCCGCCTCCCAGCTTGCGTGCTGAAGACGGAGGGCGTCTTGCGCCTCGACCATCGCGGTGGTGGCGACGAGGGCGGCCTCTCGCTCCTCCTCCACCTCCCGGGCGATCTCCGCCAGCGCTGCCTTACGGGCTTCGAGCTCCGAGATGTGGCGGCGGTGGGCCTTACGGCCCACCTCCACCATGGCGTCCACCGAGCGCCGCCCCTCCTCGACACGCGCCCATGCGGCCTCGAGCTCCGCTCGTTCCGCTCGCAAGGCCTCCACCTGGGCGCTAAATCCATCTAGCACCGCGGTGTTTGCGGCGGCCAAGGCCTGCATAATGGGCTCGGCGCTCACTGGGGCGACGAGAGAAGAGGAGAAAAGCCGCCTTGGAGAAAAGGCGACGCGGCTCGGCCCCCCGGAGGATGCGCTAGGCTCGGGGATGTCCCCCGGGCCCGTTTGGTCCTGGGCGTCGCCCGGTGAGGTAGGCCCAGGCGACGCGCCCGCGGCCTCGTCGCGAGCCGCCTCGGAGGATGTCGCCTGAGGGCCGCCCGAGGGAGTGGGCCCGAGTGACGCGCCAGCAGCAGCTGCCGCTTCAGCCTGGCGAGCCCGGGCGGCCTCCTCCTGGGCAGCTTCTTCGGCTTGGCGAGCCCGGGCGGCCTCCTCCCGAGCAGCCTCCTCCGCTTGGCGAACCCGGGCGGCCTCCCGGGCGGCCTCTTCAGCTTCCCGAAGGCGGGCTGCGGCTTCACGCCGGTCAGACTCCCGCCTCCGCTCCTCTGCGGCCGCTGGATCTTCGACCTCGGACTGGCCGGACTTGGGGCGGCGGGAGGAATGCGACGGGACATCGCTGAAGCAGAAGAAAAAAAACCAAAAGACGAACAAAATGAGTAAGAAAAAACTTCTCTTTGGGAGAAAGGTGGTCGCAATGAGAATGAGACGAACCTGCGAGGGGGTCGGTTGAATGACCACCTTGGAGGGGAAATTAGGTTTCCCCGGGCTGGTTCCATCTCCCCCATCTTGCGGAGCCGCTTCTTCTTGCGCTCCCCCTCGGGCTGTGACGTCGGCGCAGCCCCCTCCGGGCGCCGACCGCTGGTACGCACTGCCCCGCCCCCTCGGGGAGGAGATGGGGGAGGTGTTCCTCCCAGCTTCCTCTTCCCCGGGGCGTCGGCAGGGCGGCTGCTCCCCGAGCCCCCGACGCGGGGCCCAGAAGCACGACCCCCTCCTGGGGCAGATTTTTTCCCCGGGCGGCTCTCACCCGCGCCGTCGTGGCCCTTAGGGGCTCTCTCCTCTGAGGCCCCGACCCCCAGCATAATGGTTAGAATGGAGACGCGGTCGGGATCGATGCAGAGGGGGAGGATCTCCTGAGGAAGGCGAGACGCCTCCGCGGAGCTAAGATTCAGCACCCTTTGGACTACGATCTTGAAGTCCTCAGGAGCCCAATCCCATCTGGCTCCCTGGTGGGTCCGCATGTAGTCTTCAGGCCCAGTGTACTCCCAGGCGCTCCGGGCGCGCCGTTGGAGCGGCGCAATCCGCCGACGGAGGTAATCGCCGTACACCATGGCCCCGGTGAGCCCCTGGGATCGCAGGCCCGCCAGGCGGTCGAGGACGGCGTCGTACTCCTCCCCCAGATCTACCGGCGCCCGCCAGCTGGAGACCTGCGCCGGGGGCTGGCTCGGAAGTCGGAGGCGCGCTTCGTCGGCGAGGGGGGTGTAGAACCAGTCGCTCTTCCAGTCGTCCCACTTCTTGCGGAGGACGCAGGGGATGTAGCGGTTCAACACCGGCCCCCGTGGCTGGAAGTAGCAGCCGCCAACCACCGATGGCGGTGACACCGACTGCACGGTGAAGAACCACCGGAACAGCTGAAGAGAGGGGCGCACCCCAATGAACATCTCGCACAGGTGTGCGAAGATGGCCAATGTCATCACCGCATTGGGGGTGAGGTGCGCCATCTGGAGATCGTAGAACTCCAGGACATCCATGAAGAAATGAGAAAATGGCGGGACCAGCCCAGCCATTGCGAAGGGGAGGAAGAGATGATTGGGAACGAGCGCGTGTGGCGAAAGTAGGGCGTGGTAGAGAAAGAGTTAGAGCTCAGGCAGCGAAGGCAAGAGGAACAATGGCGAAAGGAAGGGAGCAAATCCTTTTCTCGATGCTTTTATACCCTTGCCATCGCTGGGCCTGGCTCCTCGTTTCTCGCGCCCACTACCTCGCTCCCTCGTATCTCGCTATCTTGCTCCCTCGTTTCCCGTGCCCACGCTTCCACTAATCCCATTCGCCCGCTTACGGCGCTTGAAGTGGATATGCGGTTGTGGCAATCGAAACGGATTGTATCGTGCGCGCGTTAATTACGCTCGCCAACCGAAGCGGCGTTACCGTATCTCCGGGCGAGACAAATCTGCTCACCCAGATTCGCGCGCTGCTCAAGTGGTGTGGCAGTCTTGAATAGACCGCCCATTATGGACAACCAAAGTTACCAATACCAATGTGCGTGAATTGAGACCGTTGGGTATTTTGCCCAACTACGGAAACCGGTCCCACCTGTCACAGGGTGGCGTCACACCTGACCGCTTCCCTTGGGAAGGGAAATTGCTCTGGCATAACGCCGGGGGCTACTGTCGGTGATATGGGACCGGGAGTATCATGACCAGAGGCTTGAGGCAGACGCAACCGCCCACGTGGCCTGGCACCTTCGGGGACGTCGGGCCCGAGGGTGAGGTGTCCGCCCTCCTCCTGATTTCCCCCGAGGGGGGGTCGGGTTGCGCTTGCCCCGGCCCCGAGGGCCGAGGCACCCCGACCCCTTAAGGAAGTCTGCGCGACATATATGGGATAAGTGAGCACAGCTGTGCTCACCTAACAGCATTTATTGCAGTCTGGTCAAGCGTGTCACGCTGCATGCAGCGCAGTATGGCGCGTTCCTTTATCCGGTCTGTGACCAGTCACAGACCGGTCAGATCACGGGTTAGGTGGCGACTGGCGGTCTGACGCACGCCTTGCCCCGTCCCGTCAAGACGAAAGCCTCTAGGCACTCGTCTCAAGCCGGAGTTAAGCGCGTTATCTATTAGAGATGACACGTTAGCCCCGGACGATATATGCCAGGCTTCATCCTAACCATTACAGGCGAGATGTTGAGTGAAGAAGGGCAAACATGCACGTTGCCAAGATTACACGCGGTGGACAAGATTGACCGATTTGTGACCGGTCTGACACTGATCATATCGTCAGCGCACAGCCATGCTCCCACGACGCGCTCACCCCCGGCGGAAGTGGAGGTAGGTGTGGGCTGTCCCATCGGAGCGTCATTCGGACAGCAACCGTGCTGATCTCCGCCCATTCAAGAGAAAAAGAACAGTCCAGTTTGGAAAGAGAAGGGTGCATGTGGTATCCCCTTGAAGTATAAAAGGAGGACCTTGCCCATAGAGAGGGGGGTGGATTCTTTCCCAGATTATGAGCTTAGAACGGGGGAGAAGTCAGCTCACACTTGTAGCTCATTCATACGCAGATCCACCAAAACACAGGAGTAGGGTATTACGCTTCTGAGCGGCCCGAACCTGTATAGATCGTCGGTGTCTCGTGTTTTCTGGCTGGCATACGATATTTCCACATACAGAGAGAGTGAGAGCTTGAGATTTCACCCTAAGCCCCCGGCCGAACTGGCAAAGGGGGGCCTGCGCGGTCTCCCGGTGAGGAGCCACGAGCTCCGTCAATATACTATATAATTAATATCTGGTCACACCTGTCATACACACATGCACCTTAGAGCCTATGCTATAGCTGGCTACAAATTTGTAGCCCCCCTGTCCTTCTCTCTCCTTTTTATCTCTTTAAAATATATTTATAGCTGGCTTATAGCCTGCTATTGCAGGATTTTTTTTAAAAAAAAATCGGACGTCCAATCCATAGCGTTCTCCAAGTCTTCTTTCCACATCGTACTAATGAATCTTAACATGGATGATGGATCAGACGGCAAAAAGTTCGAAAGTTTTCCTCTTTGGTCTTCTTTCAACAGTAGGATATCAATTCCATCCTTTAATTTGTTGGCTATTGACATGTCACCCTCCAAATTATTGGCTATTTACCTACATCCACGGATCCATTGGTGAAGAATATCGATTATTTGGTGGAAAAAGATTTACTTTGCGACTTTACTAACACCGTATTTAGTTCTAAAATAATTCTTTAAACTTTCAACTTTTTCATCACATCAAAATTTTCCTACACACATAAACTTTCAACTTTTCTTCACATCGTTCCAATTTTAATCAAATTTCTAATTTTAGTGTGAACTAAACACAGCCTGAGAGGTGTCGTACCGTATACACAAATGTTCTGTTTGAGACTAAATGCCATACATAATTCATTCATCCTTAATTAATTTGCCGATCCCTCTGAAAAAAATTCCCTGTAGGTTGACTAAGGAGAAGGGATGTTGTACAACAACAGTGCACAATTTTGGTTCGCAATTTCGGAAGCCCCCCCCTCCCCTCGGCAAGTGATTACCTCGACATAAATTTTCGATTTTACTCAATTTTTTGCGAATTTGATGAAAATTTAGTTAAATTGAGTTAAATCATGTTAAAAACATTTTAAAAAATTAGTCCAAAAGGTGCCGAAAATCCTGAAATTTCAGGAATTTCGGTTCTACAGAAATGACCAAAATTTTGGATGAAATCGAAATTGAAAGCCCTGTACAATAATCGCATTGTTGTGCGAACTGCAGGGCACTGAATATGTGCTTTTGTTCTCTTTCGGATATTTCGGGACTTTGTTGAAGGATGATGATAATGCTGATCAGCGAGCCAATCTCAACAACAAGTGATTAATTGAAATTGATGATCGTGGTGGCACAGTATATATATGAACGATGTTGATTATTGTGTGCAATTCATTGTCCAGAAAAAAAGATATTGCAGATAATTTCAGAAAAAAAAAGGACAAAAGGATAATTGCACACCTAACTGGTAGTTTGTGAGTGGTCTACTCTGAGGCAGAGGTCACCAAAAATGGGTGGCCATGGCTACCACTACCACTAGGAGCAACAGCAGCAGCAGGCACCGAGGCGTGCACGTCGAGCTCCAGCACGGCGTGCAGCTTGGACTCCACCTTGGCCGTCCTCCACAGCACGTGCCCGGACGCTCGCCGGAGCATCCCGCTGCCGCCGACCACCGCCAGCTCCCTGACCTCCTCGGAGGTGTCGTCGCGGCCGGCGATGAGGATGGTGCTCCCGTTGTATGGCCCGTCGGTGAGTACCACCGTGATGTCGACGATGAACACCGGCCTCGCCATGGACGCCAGCATGTACGTCCCCTGCGCCCGCCCAACCTCCCTGGACGCCAGGCTTGGGCCCTCCGTCACCACGTCGTCGATGATCACCGTGTCCCCGAAGTTGTTCCCCGGCGACATGGACGGGTTCGCCGGCCCCGGCCCCTTCACCACCACCACCGACGTCTGCCCCGCCCCGCCCACGATGTCGTGCATGTACACCCGCAGCCGCACCGCCTGCCGACGCGCCTCGCCCAGCGGCGCCACGGCGGCCGCGACGGCGAGGATGAGAGCCACGGCGGCGACAAGCTGCCGACGGTGCTCTGGAACACTGGAGCTACCCATTTGATCTTTATGTTTGGTTCACTCGCAAGACGAAAAATGGAGATGCAATTATATTTCTATAGCTGAAGGACGAATTTTTAATTATGAATGCAGGTGCCGCCAATGCGTGTACTAAAATGAAATGAAACATTTATCGATCAATCATTTTGTCCTTTTTCTTATTATTGAAGGAAAATGTTTGTTGCGGTTGCGACAAATGCACAACCAACTCGAGTAGTAAAGTATAGTAATTAGAAATAAGAATCAGCGTCGTCAACATCAGCCGTGACGACGTTTGTGCCACGCAGCAGTGACGACCAACGGCGAGCCGGAGAAGATGACGCGGGCACCCACGCGTACACGTCGAGCTCCAGCACCATGTGCACCGGAGACTCCCGCCTCGCCGTCGTCCACAGCACGTGCCCGGTGGCTCGCCGGAGCTTGCCCGTCCCGCCCACCACCGCCAGCTCCCTGACCTCCTCGGAGATGTCGTCGCGGCCGGCGATGAGGATGGTGCTCCCCTTGTAGGGCCCGTCGGTGAGGACGAGGGTGATGGAGACCACAAACACGGGGGCGCGCAGGCACGCCAGCGTGTAGGAGCCCTGCGCGCGGCCGACGGGCTTGGAGTCGTCGACGTCGGTGAGGAGGTCGTCCACCACCATGGTGTCGCCGAAGTGGCTGCCCGGCGGCATGGCCGGGTGCAGCGGCCCGGTGCCGTTCACCACCTGCACGGCCGTCTGCCCCGGCCCGCCGGTGATGTCGTGCATGTACAACCGCAGCCGCACCGGGAGCCCACCGGCCGAGGCCGGCACCGCCACCGCGAGGATGAGAGCAAGGAGATGGCCGGCAATGGAGATGATGGCCATTGCTGTTACCTGCTCTGCTCGTTGGATGGTTTCGATATATAGTACTGTACTAGTATATCTTCAACATGAGGAGTCCAACCATTTAATTTAGTTGTATATATCCTTCTGGATGATTAAAGTCTCCTTCCGGTGCAGATCACCTCATTATAACACAGATGATATACATGCTGGTAGCTCATTAAAAACAGAGGATATGCATGCTTTCTTTGATATAGATATCCACTGGACTAAGTCTTGTCATAAATATCATATATTTATACATTTATGTCTGTATATAATATTAAATTACATCTGTCCAATTTATTAAAAGAGATATATGCACACTTACGTGGTTTATGCTTTTTTTTTACGATCAGCACCAGACAACGCGATAATTTATTGGATAGAATAGGAAAAAATTATTTGGCTTGCACCATGAAAGATTGTAACCAAGAAAAAGAAAAAAAAACCTCCGTCACCACGAACCGACAGGTGCTTTGTGTTTATAGATATAATTTACTAGTAATGTTTATGACAAGGTTTAATAGGATCAATTGGATCCATGTCATTGTAATTTTACCATATTAGAAAAATACCACTATTATTCGCGATATCGACTGGGTGCTACTGGAACTTTATAAAGTTGGATCAATGCCATCGCCGTCACGTTTTTCATCTTCATATAGACCAAAATAACCCTAACATGACTGATGAGGCCCACATGTATGTTTCATCATTTTCCTGTATCCTCCCCTCTTCTCTCTTTGACGTGCCTATCTTCTCCCTCACCTCCTTTGAGCTCCTTCCATTCCTCGTCACCGTCCTCAGCCTCGACGATGCGTTGGCCAACACGAAGCTATCTCGTCGGAGTGGAGCCTGGGGTGGCCAGCGCAGCGGCCGGATTCAACGATGTTCGGCGCGCCTACTCCGCTCATCACCACCACTGCCTTGTCCTCCAGATCCAGGTAGCTATCAACGAGACAATGTTGTTGCCGTCCTTGCCGGCATGCCATGGGCAGGAAGAGGAAGAGGATGCGACCAAACTGGCACCGTCCACAGGAGGTGACGCTGAGGGTGCTCAGTGAGGACATGATGCACTTCCGTGCCAATGACCTCGCCACCGCCTAGGTGCTGTTGAGCATGTCAACGTCGCGCCACCAGGTTCGCATGGAGCCTGCCGCCGTCCCAGCTCCGCATCGCGCCGGGCTCCTATATATCCACCTTGGCAGTCAGTGGCCCTCTTCCCTGGTGCACCGCTCGCTAGTCACTGCCACAGCCGCCATCACCGACAGGAAGCATCACCCATCCATGACGTGTTGATGGCATCGTCGCCATGAGCGACAAAGACGGGCCACTGTGAAGAGGAGCTCCGAGGAGGAGAAGCTGGCCGATGGGTGTAGACCCCCGATTTTGGAAATCGGAAATCTTCTGTGTTTATTCGTACCAATCCCTGGATCAGTAGTTGGTACACACATACATAGTTGGATCACAACATATCACGAATGAATTTAGGCTAAAAGAGTTAAATACTTACATTAGGGCCAGGTAGGCCAACAACTATCAGAGAACAACAGCGGAAGACAAAATAATATAAGGGCCCGGTTAACATGCCACAGGCAGTCGACTGGGGAACGAGACCTAGAACAAGACCGCACTCCGATCATCTTGTGGGATACGCAAGCGTACCGACAAGGGCTTCTCTTCAACACTCTCCTAAAAGATATATAAATAGTAAGGGTGAGTACCAACCGTACTCAGCAAGCCACCACAATAACAATGCATATGATAGAGGGAATTTCAAGGAATGGCTTCAGGTCCTTTTGCATAAAGCTAATTTTACAATTCTTTTCACAAGCCTAAAACCTAGCATAGACTGATCAAATTTTAGTACCAGTGTTCACTTTAAACAACGACGGTTCTGTCCACCATCCATTGTGATCCCAAGGATAGCTTCCTGCCATTGAATCGTCATGGTTTTCTGAGGATGTCCACCTTCCCCCCTCTCGGGATGTGGCTCCATCAGCATAAAATTCATCATGCAATATCTCATTCCCCACAAGTTAAGAATTTAGAGTCTAGCCAAGTGTAATACATGTCCCGGTGCTCAATTACCGCGAGCACGGCTATTCGAATAGATTTGGTTTACTCACACTGCAGTGGATGTACACTTTACCCGCACTCCGCGACTGCCCAACACATGAGCCTCGTCCCAACACATGAGACGCGTCACGGCAAAGCTTTTCGATAACTTCGCATTGGCAGTACCCGCTCCATGAACTTAAATCCTCATGCACTCTAGGCGTCCATGTTTCTAGCAGTGAGAGGAGTTCTGGCGCTCCCGGGAAAGAGAAGTCTCACACGCATATTAAATTATGGTTCAAGTTAAGTTCTCTCTCTCACACACACATGGCAGTCCTACCAATGGCGACACCGATGTAGGGCATGCCTCTCGGCCCTACCTCAACGGCTATCCCATTGTAGCGCACCTGCCTCACTCAGGGGTGAACCATCTATGCAGGGATACTGCCTCCGCTCGGCTATCTAATCCGCTAGGTCTATACCCATTCGAGAAGTACGGTTGTACGGGGTCGTTTCATGCTTAACTTCATGGCTCGGTCCTTAATTGACCGGGGACGGTACTAGCCTTTTCCAGATACCACCCAAATCCTCCGTCCGCCCCGGTCGAAAACAGTTGTTTAATTTTATTTCTCCTTTCACAAATCATGTCATCAACATCATGGCAATGTGGCGCTCATGTCTCCACATGCCGCATCTCAATTACCTTCCCAAAGGTAATTGCCCAAGCATATAGCATTTGATAAATATGAGTATGCATGATTCTAGAATAGCATTTCTAAGCAATTGTCATAATTGACTAGGGACTCATACGTAATCATGGGTACAAGGATTTTAAGGGTAAACAATAATCAAGGCATGGCATAATCACAAGTAGGATGTTCATCATTGCATGCAATTTTATTTGTAAACAAAACAATTTCGCAATTAGGATCAATATGTTCAAGGGATAGTGATGACTTGCCTTGCTCAGGATAGTCCTTATTCTTGATATAATTCTTGATCAACCTTCACCTCCTGGAGGTTGCTGACGTTGCCTCACGACTAACCGATACATAAATTCTATAACACGCAAGAAAAACCAATATTCAAATAACAACCAAATATGCACAACAAAATATACTATTCATGTCTACTAATGGATTCCAATCACGCTAGGGGCTAGGGTTTCTTAATCTTTCTGTTGTTATGGTGGTCTATATAGGAGCTAACCAATGTAGTATGAAGGAGATACGTATTTGGCTACTATGTAGTTTAGTCTAGCAAATGGCTATTCATGCATCTATCTAAATAGAACGGTTATACACTAGAGGTTCTGTTGCCGGATGGATTTCGATCGGTCAAATAATTACTGTGAATCATTTGTATTATTATTTTATTGATGGAGGCTTTATTTTAATTATGTACATATTTTACTTGTCAAAATAAATTATAAAGGTTAACAATTATCCATGCTCTATATGTTAAATTCGGGAAGTTTATAATATTATAGTTACAGATTATCCCTTAATGAACAATTCGGAGTTACAATTGAACTATGAACATATGAGGTCAAGATTTATAATTAGTACTTATCTACTATTCATGTTTGTTATATACTCCCCAGTTTCATATATGAAAAAGATAAATTAATTGTGTAACTATAATGGGATGTACAATATATGTGTGCAACAACGTATAAGGTTTCGGTCGCCTACTGTACATGAGCTTATTTAGAAAGAGTACTACCCAATGCTCCAAGTGATTCTTGAATATATTGTAGTTTAATTATACATTAGCTAGTTTCTATGAGTGATATTGTATATGTGACGCGACAATGTTTAAGCACTGGTTCTATTGGGTTACTAATAAGTGGTAATCAATTTAGGCATATATATGCTATTCTATATGGTATTGCATCGATTAATTTACTTAGGGATTCCTCCACATCTAGCTCTATTATTATTCTCCTAAACAGGTTAAAGATTCATCTATGTGTGTTTATATTTTAGTTACATAATCATAAGGCTACACTTGCTTTAAATAACCTATAAGCCATGGCCATCGAATATTAAATAAGTACTAGTATTTTCCTATACATCCATCCATTTGATACATCACATGAATTTAGTTTGTGTGGTTGTTACAGTGGCAAGACATGTTAGAGACAAATATTATTACATCTACTCTACTGTACAATACTAATTTTATTTATTAACATATTTTTAAGTTGACTATTATGCATCATCTTGATATTAATTATTTAATATTTATAAATATATTTTATCAAATAGTGAATTATATTTCATTGGAAAGCTTATGAATTTAGATGAATTTAGGTTCAAGTTTCACTTAAATCTGAGTAAAAGTCGAATGCGAAAGTCGATTCCTTTTTATTAACTTTACTATCTGCGAACTACGGCAAACCCAATTTCGATTTAAACTATTTTACGGGTATAAATATTTTGTTGTCATAAGTTTTTAATTTACTCATCCCGAGCATTATATCCATATAACAGGTTAGAAATTTCTATTACGAGCTAAATATCGGACGAAATCTTAGAAATATTATACAATTTAATTTAGTCTATGACTAAACGATTAAATATAATACACGGCTAAGATTCCTAGTAATTGAATCCGAATTTCTACCATAAACCGATGACTTATAGAGATTACCAAAAATAATCTATAATAATCTATAAGAATTCATCTAATTGTTTGGTTATTAATTATATCTAAATTACTACCAATTTTAATCTAATCTGATCAAGAAACATATATTTATAATTAACTCGGAATTTCGATCGAAATACTATTACGCTCGAGGAATTTCCAAAAATAATCTAGGATTAACCCCGACCATGTTTATTTCCTAAATTCTCCTAATTTCTTCCCCAATTTCCCTTTTATTTTCTCCTTTCCTTCTTTTTCTCTCTTTTCTCTCCCTCTCTTTCTTTTCTTTTCTTTTCTCTTTTCCCTTTTCCTTTCTTTTTCTTTCTCTCCCTTTTTCCTTTCTTCTCTCTTTCTCTCTCTTTTTCCTTTCTTCTCTCTTTCTCTCTCTGTCGGCCTCTCTTTTCCTCTTCCTTTCTTTCTCTCCTCTCTCCCGGCTCTATCTCCCTCTCTCGGCTCTATCTCCCTCTCTCGGCTCTCTCCCACCCGAGCGGCGGCGGCGATGGACGCGAGGGAGAAGGAGGGCGGCTCACCGGCGGCGGCAGCGGCGACGACGGCGGCGGCGACGGTGGCGCACGGCGGCGCAGGAGCGGCGGCACGGCGGCACGGGAACGGCGGCGCAGGAACGGCGGCGCGGCGGCACGGGAACGGCAACGCGGCAGCACGGGAACGGCGGCGCGGCGGCACGAGAACGGCGGCGCGGCGGCACGAGAACGGCGGCGCAGTGGAGAGGGGAGAGGGGAGAGGAAGGATGAGATGGGGTGGGGGAGAATGGAGAGAGGGGGGGGTATTTGTAGAGAGGGGAGGAGCGGCGGGGCTCGGGGCGGCTTGGTGTGATGGCGATGGCGACGCGACGATGACGCGGCGCGGCAGCGGCGCGGGACGCGAGGTGGCGATGCGATGGGCGAGCGGCGCGCGGGTCGCGGGGCGCGAGACGGCGCGCGGGGCGCGAGGCGACGGGACGGGGCGGCAGCGGCGACACGACGGGCGCGCGGCGATGGGATGGGCGGGCGGCAGCGGCGCGGGGCGCAAGGTGCGATGGCGACGGACGAGCGGCGACGAGACGGTGCGCGGCGCGATGGGACGGCGATGCGGCGGCGACGGGCGACATTGGTGCGAGACGACGGCGACCCACGGCGATGGCGACAGCGTGGCAGCGGCGGCGCGAGGCGCGAGGCAGCGGCACGGGGCTCGAGGCGGCGGCACGGGGCGCGAGGCCGACGGCGACGATGGCGACGGCGGCGCGGCGGGCGAGCGGCGCAAGGTGGCGACGCGCGGCTCGGGACGGCTAGGGCAGAGGTGGGAGAGAAGGGGAAAGGTTAGGGACCAAATCGAACACCTTGCAGGCAATGAATAGTGCACTTTCCTATTATTCCCGATTTTAGGTTATTTTCAATATAAATTTGATTTCATAATTTCTAAATCTTGTGTAAATGAAGTTTATCCCATATTTGTGTTATCCTAACTAAAATTCTCCTTAATTTGATATCACTCATATTTTGTTTATATAATTTATTTGAGTTTTAATTAGGGTAAATTCTTATTCTATCGCAATTAAATTTAATTGATCCAAATATGGTCGCGATAATATTTTATTTATTACTATCCATACCTAATCTTTTATTTTTAATTTATATTTATTTTACCAATTTGTTTTTAAGGTTTATTAAAGATTCTATAATTTTCTAATGAGACCGTTATTAACATAATAGCACATTAGCTCAATTTATCTATATGTTAGTTTATTTTATATGGAGGGGTTTAATATATCAAATTTCAATCCCTAAATGCAATTAGGAACTTGGTGCAAAATCGATCTACATATCGAATTAAATACTCCCGTAATTCTATTATATATACAGAGAGCTCAGTTCATTTGAATGATCATCATTTCATGTGTACTCGTATTATGACACCCACCTATATTATTCAAATATTTTAATATTTTATAAAATAGGTTAATAATAACTTTTAATTTATTTGATTTTAATATCTTGCACATAATTATTCGTAGGATTAAGTATATTCTCATAAATCATATCTATTGCTTAAATGTAGTTCTTTTCTTTACCTTCTTGGTGATCATTTACGGTTTGGCAAGCAATAGGAATCATAACAACCAGCATGATGCAAAAGTTTTAAAAAGTTTGAAATTTTAGTGATTTTTATTGTTGGGAATTTTCAGGATGTTACAATGGGGAAGAAGGAGAGGAAAAAAAATTAAGAGAAGGAAGAAGGAGAGTGTGACGGAAAATGTGATAGTGATGGTATGGATTTAATTTTAAAAAATTCCAGTGACACTTATCCGATATCACGAATAGTAGTGGTATTTTTCTAATACGGCAAATTTGCAATGGCATGATCCAATTAACTCATATAAATATAGCAAAGTGTATGTGCATATATTTGAGTTGTTGTTTATGTTTGATTTACTCTTGGTCCAAAGAGTAACTGCAGTCACCACACACGGATATATGATACATAAACTTTATCTTTATCTTAAAAGATTTGGGGGTGTGTTTGGATGGTGCACTGGCTTGGGGCTCTTGCTCAGACAGCTGAATCCGGTCATAAGCGCTTGAAATCGAACATCTAAGAGCGATGAGCCAGTGCCAATTCTTATATTAAAGATTTGCAAAAAAAATGATAGCCATGATAAGATTCTTGAAATCTCGAGTGTTGCAAGGGGCAAACACACGCGTCATCCAGTACTCTACAACACTCTACGAGTTGCACATGAGAAGGGATTTTAAACTCTCGATAACATGTCTCGTTTCTCACATGCCGTCTACATAGTTATGAAAAAAATTAAATAAAAATATATTAATATATGATATATCATTATAGAAACATGGAAGTTAAAACTTGACATCTAAAAATTGCAAAAAACAAATTAAACTCCAACTTGTTGACACATATTTAAAGTTATTTTTTTTATTTTGAAATATGTAGAAGTTAAATTTGTAGGTTTGTGAAATGATATATTCATTTGTTTTTTTAAAATAATTATAACTATTTGAGTGAGATGTTAAGAATGAGGGAATGCCCCTAAAAAATTTAGAATCGTTTCTCACATGTACGAACATTCATCACTGTTTCAGTTGAGAGCGCATAAACTGCATCGATATCGGTCTTTGAATCGACGCTGAGACGTAGTGCAGTTTATATATGGATGGTATTATTCATAACATGAAATATGTTAATTATTGAAAAGCACAATGATTAAGGGCATTGTGACAAATTGTGTGGCCAAATGGATTATTGTAGTAGTAGTATCCATAGCCAGTTAGCCACTATGAGCATGTGACGATGAGTCACGCCATAGGTAGTCGACGAGACGTGATCCTGTAACTCTTAATTTCCCATCATCAGAGATTCAGAGGTATATATGGTCCTTCTCTCAAGTCATCATACTATTAATCTTCCTCTCCATTCCCAACTAAAATTAACACCAGCAAGATAAGTACAGTGAGTACAAGCAAGCAAATTAATTCAGACGAATTGAATAATGCAGACACGGGCCCGGGTAATATAGTAGTAGTGATTTGGATTTGCATTGCGCAAGATGCATTTTTGTTTAACGTTGATGGTACTGATTTGACAAGCATGCTATTTTGCTAATAAATTAATTTTAAGACATATAATTCAAGTATAATATGTAATACTGAACCATATCTAATATGTTTGATGATTGGCTTTTGAGGGTTGACAAGAAGAGTAAACTCATACTTGTAGGAGCATTTGCCATATGTTGGGCTCTGTGGTTGAATAAGAATGATATGATATTTGACAAATCACCATCTATCTAATATTTGCAAGTAATTTTCAAGACAACATATTGGTTCCGGTGTTGGGCACAGCTGCAAAAGTGTGAAGATGATGGAGAGCTTATGAAGGTTGTATGTCGTAGGCTTGAGACGACAATTATGCAACTTTTTGCAAACTACTCCTATGGATGGAGATTAACAAATAGATTTGAATAAATGTGTACTCTTTATCTCGGTTTGGTCTTTTATTTTGTTGGGTGTGTTTAATTTCATTTTGAACTACACTCTTTGTTTGAGTGATACTTTGTAATAATTGGCTGTAGCTCTGATGAGCAAAGGCCAGAATGTTTCATTCCATTATCTTTAAAAAAAACCAAGTACCAAATAATTAAGAAATGAGAGTTGTCCATCATATCTACTCCTATTACTAATTGTTTGAACATATGCATTTAATTTTGAAACACAAACGAAATAAAATTCTTAGTTTGAAACTTGTAGAAAAGCTAGCAAAAGTAGCAAGGATTATTAATTATAGGTGGTTACCTGCAGGCTGCAGCATGAGGAGGAGGGGTGAGGGTGACGTTTAATTGGTAGCAAGAGCAAGAGCAGATGCAGCAGCAGCAGCAGTAGCGGGCAGTGAGGCGTACACGTCCAGCTCCAGCACATAGTGCGCCCCCTCCAACACCTCTAGCGTCCTCCACAGCACGTGCCCGGACGCTCGCCGGAGCTTCCCCGTCCCGCCGACCACCGCCAGCTCCCTCACCTCCGCAAGGACCTCGTCGCGGCCGGCGATGACGAGGGTGCTCCCGTTGTAGGGCCCGTGGGTGAGCTTGAAGGTGGCGGTGACCACGACGACGGGGTCGACGAGGCCGGCGAGGACGTAGGAGCCCTGGGCGCGGCCGACGGGGTTGGAGTCGAGGCTGGGGCCCTCGGTGAGGAGGTCGTCCATCACCGTCGTGTCGCCGAAGTGCCTGTTTCCCGGCGGCATTGACGGATGCAGAGGCCCCGTGCCCTTCACCACCTGCACGGCCGTCTCCCCGGCGATGTCGTGCATGTACAAGTGCAGCCGCACCGCCCGCCGCCGCGCCGCAGAGGCCGGCACCGCGAACGAGGCGGCGAGGACGATGACGGCGGCGAGGAGGAGTACTGGCCACTGGTGGAGCTTGGCCATCGCGTCTCTGCCTTCAGTGCAGCCTGAGCCTGAGGCTGAGGAGATGGAGAAATTCGCATTGGCCGCTCCTCCTGGCCTACTCCCTAGCAGAGCTTGTTATAGTCTCCAATCATTTCAGACAACACACGACGCTTGCTCCCCCACTGACCATTAACCCTTCAATTACTGACCATTATATGAAGGGTTTGTTGGAACCATGCCACCCTATATTTGCAAAATTTGAGATATACCACCCGTATCTCAATGACATGTAGGACCCATATGAGTCAATGACATGTGGGTCAGGGTGGCGTATAACAAATTTTGCAAAATTTATGTGGCATGATTCAAATTCTCCCTTCTATCAATGGGACCGGCGCTTGTTCTCCCACGCGTCTCTTCCTCTCCCCCATGTGTCTCTTTCTCTCTCCCAGCCAGATCTAGCCCTGCCGCCGCTAGATCTGACAGCGTCTGCACGACGGCTAGGACAGCGGCGACGGGGAGGTGGTAGGCGAAGCTGCGGCGGTGGCGGCCAGAGGCAGCCAGGCCTGCGCCTGGCTGTGTGGGTTAGGGATGGTTGGAGGTGGTCGAGAGGGCGGTGGGGAGCGGCAAGGAGTCAGCAATGTAGTCTCTCTGGACGGTGGTAGGGGCGGCGGCAGCCCTAGGGGCAGCAGTGGCCCGGAGGCTCACGTCGGCGTTGGTGGCCCTTGGGGCGGATGCAGTTCCCGTTGGCGCCGGCGACACTAGGGGCTGCGGCGGAGGACGACGGCGCAGCGCCAGTGGCCCTAGGGGCTGCGGTGGCCTAGGATGGCGATGGCTCCCGTCAGCGCCGGCGGCCCTAGGGGCTGCTGCGGGACGATGGCGGCCTCGTTGGCGCCGGTGGCCTAGGACAGCGGCAGTCTAGGCACTGTAAATCCGATGAAGCGGAAGCCAATTCCGTCGGTTCGTGTATGGTTGGCTAGTTTCGGCTAAACGACGAATGACGACAGTTGAAAGTAGGCTAACTGGCGGTATGTGGCATCAGCTTACCTGAAACAGATAAAGATGGCACTGGCACCAACGGAGGTTTGCATCGACGGCGCACTAGGGGCGGCGGCGACTAGACGACTTCCACTTGTCAAATCTAGCTATTTCAGGAGGATATGGTGGGACGCAGAGAAGCAAGGATGTGCCAAGGCTGTTTGGTTTTCTTTTTGTTTTTTGGTTGTGTGTTTTCCTCTTTGTTGAGGTGTGAGTCTAAGTATCCGTGTACCCTTTTGATTGTGTATATCCTTCGTGGATATAGAGACTGGATTAATGAAAATCCATTATCTAAAAAAAAATTCAGACAACACATCGATCAGCTCATTCAAAGCAAATTAATGGAAAAGTTAGGTAGGTTAACCAAATCAGACCCAAACTGAAATTTCATGATATTATTTAATTTCTTTCCACTGAAAATCATACTCCATAATTAATACATATGACCAGCGTGCCCAATGATAAGAGTATATGAACAACACAAACAGTGACAGAAAAAACGGCAGTATATACTATATATTATATATATATATATATGGTTTCTACCCAATCTCTCCTCCTGAACACAAGAAATTTGGCTCAAGTTTATTTTGGTCCTCGATATTTGGCCAAGCTAGCTAGCATTGAATAATATACAAGGAAATGTACAAATTAAAAGATCACAACCAACCAAATATATAGTTGAAAAATTCTTGGGGCAAGCTTGGCACAAACTAAGATGACAGGAACCCCAACAATATGTTTTTGTGATCGGCCAGTATCCCCGTAGATCTGTACAAGATTCTAGTTGCCAATCGTACAGAGAGCAAGTAAATTTTCGCGCTAGTTAAGCTCATAAAGCACAATTCCAACAGTGATAAGCCAAAATTTTCTACCATCACCACCCAAATTAACTTGATATATATGCTTAAAGAACAAATAATTAAATCTGCAGATATATAAATTAAAAATGATGTTGCATTATGATACGTACACAACACAAGTCACACATTGCTAGCTAGCTATGGGGAATTGTCCATGCACCTTATGAGCTAGCCCGCCAGTAAATACATGGCATTTCTTGTTTCTGATATATGTTTAATTCCACTTGTCCATGCGCAATGTGAATTAATGTAATGTCAGTAAAACGCTGCAGGTTCAGGGTCATTATACATCGATCACCATGCGTGTACGTACTGAAATGAACATTATTTATCAAGCATTTTGTCCTTTTTTTATTATAGTAGAGTATTATTGAAGGAAAATACTTATTGTGTACGTACTGAAATGAACATTATTTATCAATCATTTTGTCCTTTTTTTATATATAATAGTAGAGTATTATTGAAGGAAAATACTTATTGTCATATGCATGATTGCGACATATATATATGCACAAGAAACACTAGTACTACTAGCTCCCTCCGTCCCATTTTAAGCGCAGCCATGATTTTTTTGCACAACTTTGACCGTCCGGCTTATTTAAAAATTTTCTGAAAGAATTTAAAAACATAAGTCACGTATAAAGTACTATTCATATTTTATCATCTCATAACAATAAAAATACTAATTATAAAAAATTTCTAAATAAAATGAACGGTCAAAGTTAGGCACGAAAATTTATAGTTGTAATTAAAATGGGATGGAGGGAGTAATAGTTAGTACTCCCTCCATTTCAAAATGTTTGACACCGTTGACTTTTTAACACGTGTTTGATCGTTCGTCTTATTAAAAAAAATTATGAAATATGTAAAACTATATGTGTACATGAAAGTATATTTAACAATGAATCAAATGATACGAAAAGAATAAATATTTACTTAAATTTTTTAAATAAGACGAATGATTAAACACGTACGAAAAAATCAACGGTGTCAAATATTTTAAAACGGATGGAGTAATAAGAATAAGAGGCGCATCAGCCGTGACGACGTTTGTGTGGAGGCAGCAGCGGCGACCAACGGATGGCGTACGTACAGTACTGTCAGCTCTGCTACAGTACTCAGATCATCAGGAGGAGGTTGAGCAGACTACGAAGAGCAGGCCCTCGAGTGTTTGGGCCTAATGAGCACCATGTCCAGGCTGTACCGTGGGTTGGCGAGAGAGAGAGACGTATAGTATTACTAAGGTCTGTTTAGTTCCTAAATTTTTTTTTCTAAAATTGAATCTTTGGATATATGTCTGTAGCATTAAATATAGATAAAAATAAAACTAATTGCACAGTTTGTATGGAAATCGTGAGACGAATTTTTTGAACCTAATTAGTCTATGATTAGTTATAAGTGCTATAGTAATCCGCATGTCCTAATGATGTCTTAATTAGGCTCAAAAGATCTGTCTCGTGATTTTCAGACGAGTTATGAAATTTGTTTTTTCATTCGTGTCCGAAAACCCTTTTCGACGTCCGGTCAAGCATCCGATGTTACATCAAAAAATTTTCTTTTCTTTTCGTAAACTAAACACACAGTAACAAACTCTGTATAATTCTGTTTTCTTGTCTTGAGAAAGAAGAAATTAAGCCAATAACATGCTGTGGGATTGGTGGAGAACATTTATCTGGCGTTAATTGTTGGGAGATCATCCAATTGAATCCTAGAGTAGCTATAACGTGCATGCTACACGTCCAGCTCCAGTACCGTGTACTGCACGCGCCGTCGTCGTCCGTCCACAGCACGTGCCCCGCCGACCACCGCCGGCCAGCTCGATCCCTCTCGGATGATGGAGACCACATACGTACGGTGATAGAGGAAGGGCGCAGAGAGCCATATGCAGTTGTTGTTTGTGTCCATGCATTCATGTCCAATCAACAAGCGACGCGCGAGAGGAGGGAGAAATAATTAAAGCTGTAGGATATACAGTAGCTAGCTAGGACGAAGAAAGCGACCAGAATTAGGTGGTGTTTGGATCCAGGGACTTAACTTTAGTCCATGTATTTAGACATTAATTTAGAGTATTAAATATAAACTACTTATAAAACTAATTACATAAATGAAAGCTAATTTGCGAGACAATTTTTTTAAGCCTAATTAATCCATAATTAGAGAATGTTTACTGTAGCATCACATATGCTAATCTTGGATTAATTAGGCTCAATAGATTCGTCTCGCGAATTAGTCCAAGATTGTGAATGGGTTTTATTAATAGTCTACGTTTAATATTTATAATCAGTGTCCAAACATCCGATGTGATAGGGACTTAAAAGTTTTAGTCACATCTAAACAGGGTCTTAGTGCAAGTGCTCCTCCATGTTAGATGTGACTACCACCTTTAAATTTATCTATTTTATTCACTCATGAACTAAGAGGCAACTCATACAATGTATCACCTATAGTACACAAATACCAATATCTCTAATACTCTCATACTCTTATTAAAATTTGTGTGGAGGTTGCCTCTTAATTTAGGGGTGGCTCATCATCTCTCTTCACTTCTCTCCTCCACCTCATCACTCAATCTAACGTGGCACTCTTAGGGGCAACATATGGGACATTATATCACTTGCCCTTAGAGGAAGCACGAGCACATCATATCGGCGCCAGGGCACTCACTCATTGCGGAGACGCGGATGCAGGCAAGCATGCAACACTTAAGAGATCGGGGAAAAGAGGAGCAAGAAGATTGGCTTCTGAGACGTGGGGTCTACGTAGGTTTCACGATGACTCAACGTTGTTAGTTTGTGTTAAATTGACACGTCGGAAAAAATCACCTGCTATATATACTGCTATGGGACTCAATATTATTGCATCAGTTTTGACAGTTGAGGAATCCGTTGTACGTGGTATTTCAGTTTAGGTATGAAAATCAAACTCGCTGACCTAAAATGAATTTATTTATTGATTATCTTAGTAGATATATAAAGAGGCCCTTCCTCTACGTACTTTCATGGCCCATTATATTCGGCCCGTAATGGTGCCGTCGGTCCAGCATGAAAGGAAGCCGATCCAGGGGAGAAAAACGACGGAAGGCAAGAGAGAAAGAGAAAAAGAAGAGGAGTATATATCAAACTCAAAGGAAGGAAACCCTAGCTAGCTAGCCGCCACAATCATATCGAAGGGGAGAGAGAGAGAGAGTAATGCATGGGTTCCGCGTCGTCAGCGACGATGGGGAGGGCGATGATGATGCGAGCCGCGTGGAGGTCGAGCAGGCCGGTGATGAGGTTTGCTCATCGCCATCGTCTTCTCCACGGCACTCCTTCTTCCCATAGAACAACTACTACTCCTACCAAGGAAGAGGTTTAATTTGCATCTCCCTCTAGCACTCTCTTCAATTCCCACGCCCTAGCTACCTTTCAATTCTCCCTTCCCTTCACTGGATAGCTAGGATACTGGATATGTATATGTCCTCGATCGATCTCCATTAGCTAGGGCTACATCTGCATATATACAACTATTATAAACTGATGATTAGTAATCAAAATAAATAATAATAATAATAAATATGTTTATGTACTTGTTAATTTGGATGTTCAAAATTGGGGAATCATATCGATGAAAAAAAAAACGAATCAAACAAAATTGGGGATGGATGCATGCATGGATTCGCTAGCTACTTACTGCTGTGGTGCTTGCATTGACGCTAGCTAGTGTTGGTCAGGAGCAAGCAGCAGGTAATTAAGACGGGAACCGGGAAGAGAGACACGTACGTACAAATGTGTCTACGGGAAGATATATATATTGCCGGCCGGCAAAGGAGGTACTCCCTCCGTATTTAAATACGTACGACGCCGTTGACTTTTTAACCAATGTTTGACCTTTGATTTTATTCAAATTTTTTATGCAAATACAAAAATATTTATGTCATGCTTAAAAGAACATTTGATGATAAATCAAGTCACAATAAAATAAATGATAATTATATAAATTTTTTAAATAAAACAAAAAGTCAAACGTTTGTTAAAAAGTCAACGGCGTCATACATTAAAATATGAAGAGAGTATATTATTGCGGTCGCATTGCGTCTGCCTGCTTAGCTTAGATTCTACTATTTGATGATTTTCCTGTTGTACACTCAAAAGATAGATGTACTTTCTATTCGAGGACTAAAGTTCTTTCTTGAAGTAGGCACGTCCCCCTTAATTATATTAATGACTCTGACTCCAGACTAAAGTTTTTTTTATCAAATTAACCATGTACTCCAGACTAAAAGTTCTTATTATATATTGTCGTTCATCAGTCATGCATTGCAACAAGTTTTAACACTAAATATTTTCACTCTCAGGCTGTGTACATCCATTGTGGATGTAGAGGCCGAATTTTAATTCATTTTCTAAAAAAAAATATTTTCACTCTCATTTATAGGTTGATATCATTCTGGATTGCTTGAAGGAAACAGGTACTAAATCAATGGACATGGCAACACTGGACCAGACTACCTACTTGTATGTATGAGCGAGCACTAATTAAAGAGTTTACTGCTATATATATATCTCAATGTCTCTCTTTCTCTAAGCTTAAATTAATTTCATCGATCTATATATGTTTTCCATGTGTATGTAGCGTTAATTCAGCACTCTCGGGTGCGATGGCCCGTAGAGTTGAGCGGGCATGCGCGAGTGCTGCAGTCGTTATTATGGGCTTCACACTTGATGCCTTCTCAGCCACTCGATCCGGCAAGCAGCTATAGCTAGATATGTCGGCTTAATTTCCAAGTTACTCTATATATATGTCGGCTTGCACCGTAATTGAAGATGATCGATGTTGACTATGTATAACACTTGATTTTGTATGGGATCCTGACGCTCAATGAAACTTAATTGCCACTGTACGTAAGGGCATATATCTTGTCTAGATATGCATGAATAAGGGCATAAATATATTGTTATCGTGATATATATATATGCATGAATAAGCACAATTTGATTCTTAATAAGAGTACACATGTTATCCATGTCCCCCCCCCCCCCAACGCAATATTGATTTAGTAGCTACTAACCCAGTACGTCTTTGATTTTAGAACCTTGTAAACTAACTGTAATAATAATAATTGAAGGGAATTAATGAATGAATGAACTGCGGCTGTTGGTCTAGTACAGAAGATGTATCAAGTGGACAAGCCGGTTAAATCCTAGTAACACGAAAGGGGATGCTATATACTGTAAGCCGACGTACTTCCTCCGTTTTAGAATGTAAGTCATTCTAACATTTCCCACATTCATATTGATGCTAATAAATCTAAATAAGTATATATGTCTAGATTCATTAGCATCAATATGAATGTGGGAAATACTAGAATGACTTACATGGTAAAACGGAGGGAGTATATCCTATTTGGAACTTAGAATTATAACCTCGAAAAGGAAAGAAATGAAACACGTACGGAACAAACTGTTTAATAACTTGTTTCCTGTAAGATGGAGTGTGATCGAATACAAGAAAAATATGAAATTAAGTCATTGTCACCTGATCGAAGGATCTGAAATTTGAAGTCCTGCCTGACCGAGTGGTATCGATGATCAAAACGGGAGGTCATAATTATAGTTATACATGTAACGGAGAAGATGGAAACATAACATAGCAGAATGGTTTGTCAGTACGTAGCAATGATGAAGCAACCAACGACATACTGGAGTACAACATAAGAGAACACAAAGAGATAGATCCGATCAGTAGCAAAAGGGGAGTCAGGTTAACACAAGACGGCATGATCCTAGGCAATTAAGTGAATAAATCGGCATAAGAGAGAGGGGGCAGCCTGGCAGTTTGGAAATAAAAAGGCAGGGAAGAAGTGCCTAGCTAGGCTTCATGCATCTTTGTATATGCTTGTTGATGATGTGTTGAGTAGAGCGGTAGCCAAGCGCAAAAGAGGTGAAGTACATGGCAGTAAGGTTGGAGCGCCATAGCCACTTATCTCTTAAGTCCCCCTTGGGCACTCCCAAACGATTCAGCACGCTGGTAATAATAAGGTATGTAATTGACATTCAATTCATCATGACCATACAAATACGTACTCCCTCCTTCCTAAATGTTTGACGCCGTTGACTTTTTTTAAACATGTTTGACCGTTCATCTTATTCAAAAAATTTTATGAAATATGTAAAACTATATGTATACATAAAAGTATATTTAACAATGAATCAAATGATAGGAAAAGAATTAATAATTACTTAAATTTTTTGAATAAGACGAACGGTCAAACATGTTTAAAAAAATCAACGGCGTCAAATATTTAGGGATGGAGGGAGTACATAGATAGAAAGAAAAAAAGTGTAGGTCGTACCAATTGAAGAAGCCAGCTTGATGGGTGCGCAGAGCGTGGATGTTGCGGATATTGGCGAGGATGTGGTCGTCCAGCCTCGCCTCCCAATCGCGCATCATCCCCACCACCTCCTCCCTCTTGGGACCCTCCAGCTTCATAAGCGCTGCCTGTACCTGTGAGTGACGACCAATCTTATCTTGTTACATCCATCCATGGATGGATGGATTTAGTCCAGTGATAGATTAGTACTACTCCATCCGTCTCTAAATATTTGACGCCGTTGACTTTTTTGAACATATTTAACCATTTATCTTATTTAAAAAAAATTGTGAAATATGTAAAATCATATGTATACATAAAAAGTATATTTAACAATGAATTAAATGATAGAAAAGGAATTAATAATTACTTAAATTTTTTAAAAAAAACGAACGGTCATACATGATTAAAAAAATTAACGGCGTAAAAAATTTAGGGATGGAGGGAGTATGATTTAATTGGGTACGTACCTCGTCCAAGGAGAAGCGGCGGGGAGAGGAGCGGCGCCGAAGCAGCTTCTCGCCGATGGATCGTACCAGGCCTGCCATGGCAATTCTCCTCTCCTCTGAGAAGTTAGGGCTAGGGATCGATGATCTGCCTCTCTCTCGGCTCGGCTTCACATTTACTAGTAGTTCTTTTTTTGCTGTCAAAAAGAAAAGAAAAGAAAGGAAAAAAAATACTAGTTGAACCCAGGGAGGAGCGGAGCCCAGCCCAGCCCGGTACTAGGAGAGAAGAAGAGAAGGAAATTAAGGAAAAGCTTCGATCCGATCTGAAACCCTAACCAAACCTAAAACCAATCCCCTTTCCTCTGCAGTCTGCATAGAAAGAGAGAGACATCCATATGGCGGCTGCACTTGGATCCCTCCTGGGTCGCCCGCCGCTGACCACCCACTTCCGCCGCCTCCTCCACGGCGCGCCGGCGCCAGATCAGGTCAGCTCGATCGGTTATTAACTCTTCCATCGATATGATACGCTCGATCGATTCTATCCCCTCTTACGCTTGATTTTCTTACGTACACTAGAAGCTCGCCAACAAGATGATGAAGAAGAAGCTGCAGGATGAGCAGCAGCAAGACTGGGATGCCATCGTCAGAATGATAGTGCAATCAAAGATGCAAACCTACAACGTTGTGCCGGATGGGGAAGATCCTCCATGGTAACCCACCTCTCCTCTCTCTTGCATGCATGATAGATTTCTTCTCTTATTAGTAAATAAGGTTTCTTCTCTTCTCTTCTCTTTCAGGGCTCGTCGAGTATTCCATGTGCTCGTCATGATCCCTGCTTCATTCATCTGTGGTTGTAACCTTGGCGAACGGATATACCACGAGCTCGGCCTCCGGACTAACCGCCGTCCATAGTTACAACCAACTGCTTGCTCATATATATATCTCCTATATATGAACTATATGAATGCTGTCAAATTCTATAACCATCCTCCCCAGTGGCTTCAATTTTCTCAACTTGCATGTTCATCCCTATTTGCAGGAGATATTTGGGGACTTCTTAACCTTAATTCCCGTAATCGAATAAAAAATGCACAAAGTTGGCATGTGCACCTTTAGTTTGTTGTATGTAACTTGAAACATGCTAAGGTGGTGTTTAGATATATGGACTAAATTTTAGTCCCTGTCACATCGCATGTTTGACACTAATTAGAAGTATTAAACATAGACTAATAATAAAACTAATTACATAAATGAGAGAAGCACGTGCGAGCACTACCATATCACATCACATCAAACCAAAGCAATGCCCCATAGAGGCGACTCGACTGGAGGTGCGGTGACGTAGGGTGGAAGGCGTGGCTCGGCACCAGAAATTTAGTGATGTCTCATCTGCTCTCCCATAAGGGTTAGAAGATATGTGTTGTGTTTGATGAACGGGTAGTATATTAGTAGAGATTATTATTAGTATTAGTATTAGTATTAGTAGTAGAGATATAGAGATAATGTCACACCTCAATCCGGCACCGCCGTACAACGGTACCTGACAAGAGCGTGTCGTAGGAGAAACGGTGCGAACCGCTTCCTACGAAACCGTGATCTCAGTACCAGTCCCAGGACATAGCGCTGGTACCCACTGTGACAAATATGAATCATTGCAATCCTTAAAATAAATAGATGACTTATTTACCTTAACTTAGGTTGCAACTCAGAACAGACCGAGAATGCAACCGACGACACGGACGAGGAAACACCAATAGTAGCAGCAGCGGAACCAACGGACTAACACCCAACACCACAGGCGACGGCTGGGAACCAGGACGAAACCCTAATCTTCATTTCACTTCATCTTCAGCTCAGGGCGAAGGAACTATATATATTTATATAGAGCAAAGGTGAGTACTTTCGTACTCAACAAGTCACGGGAACTTAGGTGTTTAATGCAAGCTTGGAAGAGAGGCAAGGTTGTTTTGAAATCCTTTGTTTGAAATCATTTTGAAATCACTAAGTGATTTATTTCTTTAACTTTGGGTCGAAAGGAGACTTGCGTCTCGATTCGACTTAAGAGATGCTTTTCAGCAACTCAAATAGTAATGTACCGACCTCCCAGGTCAGATCATTAATTATCGGCTCCCAGAGCCATTTCACTTGATTAGGAGGCTCCCAGAGCCTTTTTCATTTTTACAGACTCCCAGAGTCCAACTGCCCAGCAGCACAACAATCCGCTTCCACTCGGGAAGCCTAGTTTATGATGCCTACAGACATCCCGAATCACACAGATTCGTTTCTGACCACTCAGGTCATCCATCTGCCACATAGGCTGATTCTAGTTACGATTCCCATTCCACAACAACTTTTCACAAAGCACAGGCAGTCAAATCTACGCAACAGGAACCACCTCACATCCGCCCATGACCGTGGGCACGGCTGTTCGAACAGTTAGTTAACCTCTGCAGAGGGGTACACTTTACTCACAAGATACGAACTTATTCCAAACACCCGTCGGTATCAGAGGTTCGCAACAAAGCCTTTCCCAAGCCGACCCAGGGATACCTCATGCCACATAGAAGGATCAAATCCTCACATAAATATAGGCCATTTTAGTTTTCACAAATCAAACTCTAACCACCTCGATCGGTAATTCAGCAAGCTTCTCTTCCTTACCATGAACCCGATTTGGCTCCAACCAACCCCGCCCCGGCGTTCCCCAACTATTGGCATGCGAGGTTTCCCTGAACCGACTAATTACTTAGGCAGGGTGTCTCATTCCACCTTGTGGTTGCACTTTGATTATGTTAGATGAGTTTCCCACATGAATCGGTCCTTATATGCGAATACGGGACAACGCCACGTAGGCACAGCTCCCGCATCGCGAGTTTTCACAATTCATTTTATTTTCAAACACACCGACACCATATGTCGGGTTTTGAAGGCTTCACAAACCCATTTCCCAAGTTTTCGACAAACAACGGTGTATGTGGGATATTTGGTATACGCGCTTAGAGAGCACGGATACCGATGTACCACAAGGGTGGAGCGACAAGGAAATCAGGGTATGTAGGTCCGTCGGTTTGGCACGCAAACCGAGGCCAGCAAGTTAAGTGTGTGATTCTAATAATGTAAGTTGCAAACAAAATAATAATGATTTTCCAATTATATGAGCAATTGGTCAAAGGGTGACTTACCTTGCTCAAGGTCTTCACGAAGCTTCATGAATCTTCGAGAAAACCACGGTCGACGAAAATTCGATAACCGCGACTATACGCAAACAATCAAAAACCTAAACAAGGACCAAAAGAAAAATCCTATTTAGACTAATTAATAGTGCCATTAAATAGATCTCAATTTTACGGAATTATTGGAAGCGGAGCGGAGTCAATCGGATGAACGGATCGAGAGATATGAATTTTGGAAGTTTAATTGGGATTTCTGGGCGAAGGAAGATATTTGTGGAACAAGGGAAAATGATTTATGGAGTTTCTGGATTAAAGAAAAGATTTATTAAATTTTATGAAAAAGAATATTCTCAAGAATATTCTTTGATAGTCACTGACAAGTGGGGCCATCAAAGGGTAATGGAGGAGAGATGATCTTTGGTTATATGGCTGGTTTGAAGGAGGGAGTAAGTATAGACTTTATTCACTTTAAGGAGCCGAGGGGAAGGTGGGCCGATGGGCCAAGCCCACAAGCCGGAGGAGAGAGGGGGTGGGGTAGGCGCGACCGGTCAACTTGACTTGGTGAAGCCGACGTGGCTGCCACGTCGGATGGGGAGGGAGAGGAGGCCAGGCGGCGCATCGGACGGCCGTCGGCGCGCGGCGGAATACGGCGAACGGCGGCGAACCGGAGTGGGCAGCGGGCACCGGAAGCGAGAGGGGGGTCAAGGAGGTTCCATCCACCGGCTCGGATGTGGGAGAGGAGGCGCGAAGGCGGCCGGCGGCAGTGCGGCGGCGGGATGGGTGGCACGGCGCGGGTGCGGCCGGCGAGGCGGGCGGCCGCGGCAGCGTGCCGGGGAGGTTCAAGGGGTCCTGCAGGCTGCGGTGGTGAGAGAAATCGCTAGGTTTCGAGCCGATGGAGGCTTATGGCCGAGCGCGACAGCGGCTATCGCCGGCGAGCAAAGAGGGGTTTTTCGCCGGGGCGACGAGGGTATCGGCCATCCCGAGCAGCATCATCTCGGCCTCCAGGAGGCCGGTCTGACCGGGAAAGTGCCGCCGGTCAGACCGCCACTATGTGGCCGGTCTGACCGCCTCTGGTCAAGCCAAACCCAGTGAATTTGTGTAAGGAAAAAGAGAGCACAAATGAAAATGCAATGACCTAATGTGGCAATTAAAATCATCTCTTTGCTAGGTCATTACCCCTCTTAATAGTACGGCGAAACTAAAATTAAACTAGCAAATTTGATCGCCCTACACCTCGATCAATTCTAAATTAAAGCGCTAGTTTTACCGTCTTCTTTCCCTTTGCTTTGCGCCGTCAATTTTAATCCATCGATAATCATTCATGCGCACATATGACGTGGACATAACTTAAAATGTATAGCTCAAAGACGGTTAGTCCACAATTAGTGCTTGTCATTAATTACCAAAATTAACACCGGGGGCCTAGATGCTTCATGTTGTCATGCCGCCCCTTCATCTCTAGTGGGGCTGCCGGGTGAAAACCCAGTCTCGGCCCTTCAGAGGCCTTGACAGGCAGCGGCGACGGTGTATCCATCGCTCCTCTCCTTAGAGACGTTATTTAAGCACCCTCTTGCCAAAACCTACAAAGCATTTGGTGCAAGCTCGCTCTAGATTCTTATCCTCTTGTGCTGGCGTCCTAGCTTCCGCAAGTTGGCCACATCGGAGGACCTAAGGAGGAGAGCGATTCCATCTTCTCTCTCACTCAATCCCAAAGATTTGGATAGAGCGTGGTTTTAATGTCGTTTGCAAGGGTCGGATTTGGGCGAGCTCGGCTGTGTTCCGGTGTTGGCTTAGCAGCGGTCGGTCACGCTTAGCGGCACTCGATCCGGTGCTAACCTTCTCCTAGGTTTGTGTGTTGACGCTGTCGGTGATTTGGGCGAGCTTGGCTATGTTCCAGTGTTGGCTTAGCGGCGGTCGGTCACTCTTAGCGGCGGTCGGACCGGTGCTAGTCTTCTCCTGGGTTTGTGTGTTGACGCTGTTGGTGTGTGGACGGTGATATAATTTTTTTCTTTTCCTGGTTACGACCTCACAAGGTTGTAATCTTGTATTTTTTTTTCTGCTCTATTAATAGATCTTTGCACTGTATCGTTAAAAAAAAAACTTCTAATTTAACCACCAGTTAACATGATATATAGCCAGCATTAATTGATAATTGGTTGTGCTATATATATAAGTTCATCCACTGCTGAAGAATATTGATAATCTGTCGAAAAAGGAACATCTTCGCAACTTAACTAAGAGGTATCGATCTCTGCATGTTATTCACTTCTGTTCTCTGCCTGATCCTGCCTCTATCAATTCATCCTTTTCTCCCTCACAAATTTGCAGCTGGGCTAAGGAGCAGCGACGTGCAATCATATCACCATGGCTGTTTGGAGTATCCTCATTGACTTTGTTCTCACTTGGATTTGTGGGGCCTTTTTTGGATGATGATGATCAGCAGGACCTCGAGAACAATGGGAAACTTAATTAGATCAGGTGTGGCACAGTATAATATTAATATCAACTTGGCAGTCTGCAGTTAAAGTGAAACTAGCCTTGTTCTCAACTTATCTGCAGAATTTGATGTATCTGTCAAACTACTCCCTTCGTCCCATTTTAAGTGTGGTTATGGGTTTCCGTGTCCAACATTTGATCATTCGATTACTTTTATTATTATTAGATAATAAGATATGAATACTACTTTGTGCGTGGTTTTTTTTTTAAAAAAATAAATAATAAGGATGGTTAAAGTTTGACACAGAAAGACGGACACTCCCTCCGTCCTAAAATATAAATATTTTTAGCTATTGTTAAAAATGTTTATATTTTGGGATGGAGGTAGTATCTTGGTGCATGCTGGTGCTCTCCTGGTGCTTGTAGGTAGTGTTTGGTTTGGGGACGAAGTGGGATGGGTCAGACCTATCCTAGTTTTGTGGGATGGGATGGTTCCAGTTGTCTGTTT